TATTCCAATGAAAACTTCACATTTTTGTTTTCTAATTGACAATTCAAAACCAGCAACGTAAGTATTTCCATCCATTATTTCCATTATTTTGTAATACAATAAGTGAATTACAACATCTTCTTGATTTAATCACAAGATGCGTTTAAAACTAAAGACATTGTCGTCACGACATTAAGGACAATTTTTTGTAAAGAGATTAATACAAATGTGAAATAAGGAGGTGGATTTGGAATAAATTGAGAGGCAAAACATACACACACCTACGCGGTACCATGATAACTGCACACTTGTGAACAAATATAGAAAAGTAAAATATTCTTTACTGGTGAGGACCTAGTGCTCAAGAGAGTATATATGAGGTATATATATATATATATATATGATATATATATGGTATATATATGAGTATATATATATGTCTCCTATCTTGCCTGAATTTAACATGTAATTATTATAAGTAGACTTTCGGTCAATCGTGTCTTATTTACGCCGGGGGCATTTTTTATGCAATAACTAAAAGAATAAAGAATGCGTAGAAGGGGAAGTGGTTCAATCCTCTTAAGGTTTGTTGTGGCATTAGTCAAATTTTACAATTTTTTTAAATTTTGAAGTTGAGTAAGACTAGTTGAGTATTAGGCCAGTTGCTAGTAAATTTTCGAAAAATCAGATCCATCAGACAAAAAAGCTGGATAAAATTAAGCTATTTATTGAATAGTTAAAACGCTTAGATATGTTTCGAAATTAACGGAAAAAATATTTCCCTACTGATTTGTTAATTCGCTCTGAATATCTTTATGTGAGGGATGATATCGTGGCAAAGCGCGGGGCTTTAGTCCGCAAGGTCCCAGGTTCAAATCCTTCCAATAACCAATGGGGGTTTGCTATGTAATAGAACCACGACCATCATGGCCTAGCATAAATTAATAGGTGGAACTTTTCGGGTTCCAAAAGAAATCTAAGTTGCCTAACAGCATTGAGGAAAATAAATTAACGTGTTACAAACCTCAAATCCCAAACCTACAATTTCTTATCTGGCTCTGAAAAATCAACTTCGAATCAAGCTCGAATCCAACAAATCAGAAATCATTAAAATCGATCCAGCCGGTCTCGAGTTACAAACTGTTGAACTAAAACGACTTTGTTATATATATATTATATAATATATTAGGATATATAATAGTTTAGTTATATAATATTAGTAGGATAAGTCACAGAGTGTTTATATAACACTAAATTAACTCTCAGACTCATTAATAGGGCAGTTTCTCTCAGAAATATTATTACAAAGAAAAGGCCGCTCTGGCGCAGTACAGGTCTGATTTTGGGTGGTAGATTATAGTGCTGGCGCAGTACGGGCCTGCTACCTGGACTCTCTGGCGCAATACGGGCTCCCCGATACGGGGTCCTGCTCGGTTGCAGGTTGATGGTGTTAGTGAATAACGAAAAAATATAGCACACGACTCTTTTACTTCTTACAATGTGAAATAGAAAGACATGCAAATAGGCTGGCGCGTATTTCGGTTATATTTGTGCACACGGTGTTAAAATAAACACAATATCAACATATAATAAAACATAACAAAAGTAAGATAATGATTAAGTAATTTAAAAAGCAAACATCCAAACATAAAATTACAGAAATTATAAGCTAATTTGATTATGAAAGATAAATGTTACTAAGCCTTGTTTGCAAAGTTGAACATTCAATAGGAAAACGCATTTACTTGGAGAAAGAAACTCTTGCAGATATCACTAATGTTTTAATGTTTGAATACATTTTATTATCTTATTTTAAATTTCACCCATCAAAAGAAATTCAAATAAAGGATTATTTTAAATAATTATTTTGAAAATATAAAATTTAGGGCTGCAGTATGATATAACAACACTATAACCAGTATAACCACTATAATGACTTAACACGAGTTAAGTACACTAGGAAACATACTAGTTATACTAGTTATAACTAGTATGTTTCCTAGTGTACTTAACTCGTGTTATATTGATCCAATGGGTTCACCCTGCATATGATTCTCAATTTGAAAGTTACCCTAGTTATAAATTAAAATCATAAATGAGCTTACAACTGTTTAATCAGAGGAAAATTACGGAATTACGTACTACTTTACACAAAATGCAAGATAAGCTTATTCATGGTTGTTAAGTCATATCCAAAATCTTAAAAACGTAAACTTATTCCCTACATAATTTTTCAACTTAAAGTGTATTAAAATAATATTATAATTAAGTTTGCGATCCCAAGAATTATATAAAGCCAAATGGGGTTTCCACCAACTTCACCTTTAATTACCATCCATATTTAACTAGTTATATATCTATGTTAATTACATTCAAATGTATACCACGTTATGTATCTTGAAAAATGACTGAAGTTCACTATAGTAATGAAAAAATATTCAATGAAGTAAATATCTAGGCATGAATTTGACGTTTATTGCACTAATAACCTTCTAAAAAATTATAGTTAATTAAAAAAAAGATTTTTTATTTAATCTAGACTTTTACTTTTTTATTTTAATCTATATAATATTCGGAGGCTTGGAACTGGATTTGTAGTGACTGAAAGATATTAGTGCAACGGCAAAGTTTGTAAATGGCGCATTTGTGGTTGAAATCTAGTCGTTAGTTTCCCCTAACAATTTCCTCAAATGAAGTAATTCTTATACGTTCAGGAATCTTATTTCCATGTAAAAAGGCTTCCGTTACAAAAACTTGTGTATAGCAAGGGTCAAAGGATCCTTGGGAAGGGTTTGTGGATTAAAACAAATAAGCTGTTCGCTAAGAAGAGACAATTTTATGAGCAAAGTGTCCATGTTTAAAGAGGTTTCAGCAATATTTCCTTGTTATTCATTTTTTTGACTAGAGCGCTACCGTCATTCTGTTTTAATAAAATAGTAAAAAATCTCGTAAAAGAGTCAAAAGATCATCCCTTTGTCATGGTTTTAAGGTGTCATTTTTATTTTGAAGCTGCAGCTGTTATAGAAGATACAAGTCTCACAAATTAAAACCCCTATACTAGCTTGTTTTAGGTAATGGCCATACACAGCATTAAAATGCATCTAAAGGGGGAAAATATACATTCTGATCCCATGTGTTCTCAAAATAGCCTTTTACTGTCAGTAACATGAGATAGATTCGTCAAATAAAACATAAAATAAACACTGATTTTGCCCTATTTTATGTACACTGATAATGCTGAATTCAACATATAATAGGACTTAGTATAATGTAAAACGGTTCTGGGGCTTAGCGTGCTAGGTTGAAAATAAGGGACATGCAAATTCTTACATTATTGTTTTATTTTTTTGTTTATATTGGGTCTTTGAAAGTAGGCTACTTAATTATAGTTGCAAGGTGTATTTTAGAAATAATTACAACTACCGTGAATTACATTTTAACAACACAACTAGGTCATTATGATGGTATATATATATATATATATATTTTTTTTTTTTTTACTTCATTGCCGGTCTTCTAATATGCATCGTTCTAGCTATCTATTAGATTTCGCGTAATTGATGATTTATTGTAGAACTTGCGGAAACGGCGAGTTGAGACTCGTTTACAATAAATTCCCAATAACAATAAAACTCATAGATAACTATGCAACAATGCATATCAGCTGATTTGCAATGAAACAAATAATATAGTGAGACCAAAGTGTGAGATGCGGTGTCTTATGTTACATTTAATTTTGGTTGCGTAGGCCTAAACAACACCCTTTATACCCCTTTTGTGTGTGTCATACATAATACTGTGTAGGCGAGTTGCCATGTAGCCTACCAACAGACGTAGTGGCAAATGAGTTTCAGTCAATATTTACCACAGATCAGCCACGTGGTCTACTTTCAAAGCTCTCACCACAGCATCATTAGGCTAAATTTGCATCACAGATCAAGTGACTCGGAGTCTGGTGATAGCTTGCTCTCAATGTGGGATTTAACATAAGAATCAATGAAAGAATAGTGAGTAGTTATTTACTAATTAAACTAATACAGAATTTTGTCGTAAAAAAATCTGTCCTATTACAGTAGGCCTTTCATTTACAACCAAGCAAAAAACATAGCCTCATATTACTATGCACTAACTGTAACATAATTTAGATTGCTCAGTTGAAATGGACAAAAAATTCTTAAACAATAGGTTGATTAATTATAGTGCCTATAGTCCTATTAAAAAAAAAATTGAAAAACTGTGATCACACAGGGAAGTAAATAAACAAAATTTAGATTCTACAGGGTGAATAAAAAGTCAAGAACCCCCCCCCCCCTCTAATATTTTTCTAAGTAAATATACAAAGATATCCTTTTGGTGGTCTTGCAATCTTAGCAGGAAGGTTCATTTACTGATTTTGAAATTTTTGAGAGTCCCCAAAAAGGGGGGATTTGTGGGGCAACTCAACAGTTTTAAACGTAAACTCTCTTCAAGTGACACCTCATTTTGAAGTGTTTACAAAAACTTAAAGAATTGTGAAAACTAGAGATCGTTATCTCTTCTCTATCCAAAATGGTAGTCCCATAAAAGATTAATGACGTTACTGTTACATTAATATTATTGTGTAATAAAAAGTAACTTTCCTCCCTTGAATTTGTTCCTAAGTAAATATTATAGAGTTGTCCTTTTGGTGGCCAGGCAACCTTAGCAGGTAGTTTAATTTAATGATTTTGAAATTTTTGAGTGTCCCCAAAAAGGGGACAACTCAAAAACTTTAAATGTAAACCCCCTTCAAGTGACGCCTCATTTTGAAGTAATTACAAATACTTAAAGAATAGTGAAAATTCTATTATAAATATAAATTTAATATGAATTTAAATTATACATATTATTTTATATAAATTACATTATTACCTTATATGTGATACATTTACGTCACATTCTATTTATAGCTAATGTTAATATATAAAATATTGATAAAATTAGCAAAATTTCAAATAAAAAGTGTCATTAAAAGTGTTCAGGTTCAAAAAAAAGCTTCTTACCTTGCTCTCTTTGATAGGGAGTCACAGTACACTGATCTGGAACAACAGTTTTCAATAATTAAATTTATAAACAATACATTTTCTTTGTAAAAAAAAAGTCAAATACAGTTATCAAATGACTAGAAAGGTTTTAATAAGTTTATATTTCCTTCCTGAAACCATTAAGCTACTGAACTGTGGAATTTAATTGGAAAATCTAATGTCTGACTACAAACATGGACACAGAGCAAAAATATATTTCTTTATAAATAGTATATTATGTAAGGTTTCAGGGAATTCAAAGTGGTATTCAAAAACATGTGGATTGCGCTTATTGAACCCAAATAACTCTCAACATTACTCTCAATACTCCCAACAATTGTGATACCAAGAATTTGAAGCCTAAACATAGCTCCATTCACCCGGATAACAGTTAAATTACATGTTTATTAGTACATGGCATGAACTAGTTTCTAAAACAGTTGTTGAGCTCGTTACGATTCTTTACTTATTTTAACAATCAACAGCTTGAAGTTATATTTTAATTATAATTGATACTTTTTTGAAAGAAAAAAAACTTTTTTAGACATTTGATGCAAGTTGTTGTTATATATAAAAAGATACCACGAGCTAAAAAGAAACCATTAAGTTTAAAACCAATTACAAGTGCTATAGCATGAGCATGTCTCGATAAAATGAAGTCCAAAGCACAACGAGTTAATATTATGTTTATGAATTTGATTTAAAAAAAGTAATAATAGTATTTTATTTACTGCAGAACAAAATTCAATTGATCAATACATTTATCGAAATGTCGTTTTTCTCCATCAGTTACTGAGTTTTCCATTTAACATTCTTAAGAAGATTGAACACATTTCTTAGGATATTGTTAGTTAAATACTAACGTTGTGTTTTAAACAATTTTTATTTCAAAACCCGACTTTTTGTTAAAATTATTGTCTATAACAACATAAATTGTTGTTTTAAATTATATAAAATATAAATTTTTTAAACACGTACGATAACTCACATAAGTCCGAAATCATAAATACTAGTTAAACATTAAGTATTTACGTGGTAAAAGCTCCTTTACGATGGAGTCAAATTATTTTTCCAAATTAATCTGAAACTTAACATTTTTCCAGTTGTTTGATGTGATATATTAACAAAGTTTAATTATTTTCCTTTACAATAATTTGTATTTGTATTTTCACCGCAAGTTGTAAAAATACTTAAAATATTACTTTTTGCAAAAAATAATTGTTTACAAGGAAAGGCTATTTGACAGAAATGTTCGTTATGTCTCCAGAAAAATCTTTCTCGAATGGAAAAATATATTACAACTTAACCAAACATAGCTTTGTATTATTGTATTCCTTCGTCATTTGTAAGATAAAGTTTTTTTTTTTTTTTGTATTCTTATAATTAACTTATTAAAGTGATTTCTAGTTTTTACATTTTTACTTGCCACAAGTTTCAAAATAGGCTTCATTTAGGGAATGGTTATAAAGTTTGGTTGGGAAATGATTGATTTATTAGATTCGAGAGGTTGAACTTTAGTTTTCTTCCCCCAAAATGAACAATGTAAAGTAGTTTGATGTAACTATACGAAGCTTGATAGCTTGATTGATACACTGTGACATATTGGTTGGTTGAGTCAGTGATGCCATCATATGGCACTAACGAGAGGTCGAAATATGACATAGCAACTCTCATTATGTCAAAGGACATCTGTATGCAAATCACAGGCTAAAATGTGTTTTATGTGATGTTTACCACATTCAAATGGTTTTGTGTTAATTGTTTACTTTTCCAGCAATAAACATTTCATTTTTGGTATTAGTATTTGAGTTTCAAGATGTTTCATAAGTATACAAATATATCCAAATTTGTTCACCACTGAAGTTGTTAGTGTACAAACCAGATGTGTAAGATTTTGCATTAATAAATTGTAGATCGAGAGAGTAATTTCTCCAAATGAAGTTGAAACACCTAAGCTGTGTAATTCTATATTGTATGATGCGATTAAGCTTAATTTACAAAGTTGAGTGTTCCTCAAATTTATTACTTTTTTGTAAAATGTTGTGGATATAAGAAAAGAAATATTTCAAAGTTGTTTATTTTAGCATATTTTCCATATAGGGAATAAGCTGTTACGGTTATTCTAATGGTAAGACCGAGCAAGGGACTAATTGTTGTAAGATTACATGTATGAATATTTTATCCAAACTCTGAAAAGGTTTGATGATTAAACTGTATGTATGTGCTTATTGTGGAATACAAAAAAAATAAATTCTACGTGGTTGTGTTGTTAGCTTAAAATATAATAGGCTTACTATAATCCTAGTTTATATGAGCGTTGTTAGAGACTCCTAAATTTGAGTCTTAAATTCAACACTCAATTATCGAGTTATAAGCCTTATATTTTGTTCAGTTTATGTTAGAATCTGGGAGAAAAGTTACGTTGATACGGCAAGGCTAAGTTACTTTGTTTGCTATTGATTGCTACACACTGGGATTTCATTTCACATTGTTATCACAAGAAGAACAACTAGAGGACCCATGCTGCTCCGCAGCGATAAAATGAATATAATATCCGAGATATAGGCCTAACCAAGTTCATGATTTTTGATTGAGTAAAACAGTATCTTGAGCTTAACTGATTCAAACGATCAATAGCTCAAATTAAAGCCTATAATTGACTGATTATTTTGAGTCTAAAACGTATAAAAAACCTCAACATTACTGGAGCTATTGATTGTTACTCATAGAAATACCTTATATAAAAAAAATGTTTGTTGTTCACCTTGCGTTTGCTTGAAACTCGCCCGATTTGAAAAACTAATAGCTTAAATGAAAGCCGGTATTTCTCTGGAGGTCCTTAGACCAAAATATATAGGATTATATAATTATATAACTGGTGAAATACATCTTAAATTGAAGAAAGAATCCGAAAATGAATCAAATTACGTTTTTTGGTCGAACAATACAGTAGGTAAATATATGCCGATGCTTGATGGCAAATCGGTGCGTGCATACCTTCAATTTGAGACCTCAATCATGAAAATCGGTCGGGTAGAAGGGCCAATCGAACTTGGAAAAGAGAAACCAAATTTAACTCCCATAAGAAATACATGGGGAGCAAATTTCTTTTACGTATAAGCCGAGTGGGATTATAGATAAATATATGCCGATGCTTGATGGCAAATCTGTGCGTGCATACCTTCAATTTGAGACCTCAATCATGAAAATCGGTCGGGTAGAAGAGCCAATCGAACTCGGCAAAGATAAACTAAATTTAACTCCCATAGGAAATACATGGGGAGCAAATTTCTTTTACGTATAAGCCGAGTGGGATTATAGATAAATATATGCCGATGCTTGATGGCAAATCTGTGCGTGCATACCTTCAATTTGAGACCTCAATCATGAAAATCAGTCGGGTAGAAGAGCCAATCGAACTCGGCAAAGATAAACTAAATTTAGCTCCCATAGGAAATACATGGGGAGTAAATTTCTTTTACGTATAAGCCGAGTGGGATTATAGATAAATATATGCCGATGCTTGATGGCAAATCTGTGCGTGCATACCTTCAATTTGAGACCTCAATCATGAAAATCGGTCGGTTAGAAGAGCCAATCGAACTCGGCAAAGATAAACCAAATTTAACTCCCATAAGAAATACATGGGGAGCAAATTTCTTTTACGTATAAGCCGAGTGGGATTATAGATAAATATATGCCGATGCTTGATGGCAAATCTGTGCGTGCATACCTTCAATTTGAGACCTCAATCATGAAAATCGGTCGGGTAGAAGAGCCAATCGAACTCGGCAAAGATAAACCAAATTTAACTCCCATAAGAAATACATGGGGAGCAAATTTCTTTTACGTACCAGCCGAGTGGGATTATAGATAAATATATGCCGATGCTTGATGGCAAATCTGTGCGTGCATACCTTCAATTTGAGACCTCAATCATGAAAATCGGTCGGGTAGAAGAGCCAATCTAACTCGGCAAAGATAAACCAAATTTAACTCCCATAAGAAATACATGGGGAGCAAATTTCTTTTACGTATCAGCCGAGTGGGATTATAGATAAATATATGCCGATGCTTGATGGCAAATCTGTGCGTGCATACCTTCAATTTGAGACCTCAATCATGAAAATCGGTCCGGTAGAAGAGCCAATCGAACTCGGAAAAGAAAAACCAAATTTTTTTAATATATAAGATTACTATTGGTTAACGCTTCTAATTTTTTTATGTGGACGAAACACAATAGAAAATATAATCAAAGTAAATAACCAATGTTTATAAATACCATGTGTTGTTCAAAGCGTTTAAATATTCATGTCAATCATGTCTTACTTTTAGTACTGGAATTACACAATATAAATAAGAATGAACTTATATAAAAAAAACCCAGTATAAACAACAGCAATAAACAATACATCCTAAATACAATAAACTTAAACGTGTTTAACCTTAAACATAAGTGGCCGTGATGGGTTCCTATTTAATAGCGTGTAAGGGGGGGGGGAATGAGATTTTAAAATTAAAATTCTGCAAATTTAATGTTTTCTTTTATCTCTAGAACAACCAATAGATGGTCTAACAGTAAAATACATTCACAATAGTTTTTGTGATAAAATGAATATATAAATAACAATATATTATTCCGTTTAGAAAGGTTCGATTAACTTCGATACTCTTCATCTATAACGTTTTATAGCTTAAGGGTCAGAATCTTATCCGACGTTGCCCAAAATAGAAGTTTCAATCATTCTAGGTTTTCAATTCCCTCAAGACTGAATCTTTCTCTGATCCCTCCGTAAACATGAAAATAAAGGACCACTTATATAGGTTGTTTGCATTATATTTGCTTTCTTGTTTCTCAGACAATCGTGAATCGGGCTGAATGTAAAGAAAACAAATCATTATCATATCGTTTCCATACGTTTAATAGCATCAAAGGTTATTTCATTTGATCTAAAATTATCACGGAAGCAATAATTTTTATTGGCATAATCACGTTTTATTCTTCAATTATACCT